CACAAGTTCCCCAGGAACACATTTTCCACAATCACATTGCTATCCAACTTGCAGAACTACAACCACAACATCAATTTTTGGCATACTCCGGCAAAAGCAATTGCCTTCAGAAACCCACACAGTTGGCCTCACAATTATACCGAGCCATACGCACATGGCACCGACACTATGGACTGCCTTACAACCATCAAACTGCAAAGCAGTTTGTATCTGAACAAATACCACAACACAACACACACTGCAGCCAACACAACATACTACAGGTCAAGATGATCAAGCAAGTCCAACACAAAATACCATCGGGCATCATCCATTGCGAAGATCACTTCCCGAACCGACTCACGTGGTACTGCCCAACACTATATCACATTGCCATACACAACACTTTTTTAGACAAGGAGATCTTTCGGATCTCGCAGCACCAACCTCTACAACACCACTTTGATGTCTACACAGACATCCGCAGTCTTCTACCAGCTTACACATGGGCTTTTCCACAATGGGGACGCATCCCACGCGCCTACATTTTACCGAAAAGAAAGAAGCAATTCACGAAAGGCCGTCCTATAGTGGCGTTCATCGACACTATGGGCAGGAAATTGTGGGAAGCCTTAGCAGACGTACTGCAGCTGATGACCCTTCAAGCATGTCCAAACTCACTTCACCAAGGAGACGGGATAACACAGCTCAAACAAACAGCGCTCTTCCTGCATCAGCGCAGGAAACTACACGATTCAACAGATTACATCCTGTACAATCAGGATTTGGCTGGCTTCTTTACATCCGTCGATCAGAGCCGGTTTCTGTCAGCGTACAGCATCATGGTTCGATGGTACAGAGAGAAGAACCCACTACACTCTTCCAAATTCTTCATTGACCACTCACAGAAAGACCCCACACATCGAGTCCACAGGGGCAAAAGCAGACAAAAGAAGCAAGAAGCCTCCTCCGGCAACAAACTTTGCATACAATTACAACACATACCACAACTCATCATTGCAGTGCTCCGACTCAACTATTTCACTGTCGGTACATCACTCATTGAGCAATTTCGCGGTGCACCTATGGGCTCGCCCTGCAGCCCAGCCCTATGCAACATCGTGGTTGCTGTCGAAGAACAGTGTTGGCACCACACATACAAACAACTTTTCACGAACCACAAGCATTTTCCAGACCACAACAAGCAGGATCAAGCTTTCTTTTTTGCTACCAGATACGTCGACAACCGCGTCCTTCTTTTACCTGCACAGCTGACCCGACTGCCTCCTTTTGCACAGCTTACTGACGCATCTTTTTACAAACCACCGGTTCAGCTTGAAACTGAACCGGCCAACATTTTCCTGGGTTTCGCCATAAACCCTCAGCACAGCAGCCTTACGCATCAATGCACTTTGCACAAGGCGGATATTTTACACCCACAGTCAGCCACCTCTGTTGCAACACTTCGCAGCAGTTTTCAGGCCCGCACACGCATGGTACGCAGAGTGACAACACCATGCAGCGAGGCCACATCAGCCATTCGAGCCATGCGCGATCTCTACATCGCTGCCGGCTATACTGATCAACAGCTGTAAGCAAAACACTGTGCCAAGTTGCCGTGCGTGTGTCCAGAGCCATGCAACTTTGCAACATGAGAGCCGCCTTGTATCAACACAGTGCTTCCCGCAGCCATTTACAGGGTTTAACTGAGGCATCATCATGTATAAAAGTGCCATGACTGGCAGATTGCAGCCGAGCCACAAAGCGCTGAGCGGCCGTCCTCGGCCATCCATCTCCAAGCATAGCAGACGCCGCAACGAGCAACCTGCGGTTGGCAGCCACAATCAACAGCCGGCGCTTTTGCGCTCTCAGTTCCTACGTGTTGCAGAAGACGAAGATTTCCAAGATTACCAAGAGCAACACCAAGATCCGGAAGAACAGCAGGACGCAGCAGTGGCTGCACCGGCGACCCCGCCATTTCCACCTCCGCATCACCCTGATCCGGATTCATCGACTGAGATTATGGCAGCAATAACGCAGTTTCACAATTCGTTGCTTGAATCGAATGCCAAACTCGAGCGCCTGATACAACAGGCTACAACGGTGTTGACCACTCAACACGAGGCTACCACGGCGATCCTCGCCTCGTGCAAACAGCAGCTCGACGTACTCGAAAGCCTCATCAGGCAAAACGCGCCTGACTGGTCGTGAATATGCTGCTAAGGCAAGCCGGTATAAAAAGTGCCAGGTAGTGCATACGTCTCGCATTTCAACACATGTTGCTTTCAGACACACACCATAACTTTGCCTTCTGAAGTTTTGCCTCAGAGTGACACCTATTGGAATCCCGACATCGAGCCATGAGCGAAGCATCTCTTCCGACAAACACAGCGACTACAGATTCGCCACCCGTCGATGAGGCACGACGTGAAGCTCTCTCCGCGGCCCTCATGGAGATTTTGACACAGCATCGGGACTATGAGTCTGAAACCGGAAGTGAACCTTCCACATTCAGTGACGAGGCTCTACGCGACCAATTAGCCGAGTTTATTCTGCAAACAACCCGGCAGATCACAGAGCTAAAGCAACGAGTGGAACGACTCGAAGCTTCGCAACAATAGGTGATCAACCATGTTCATACCACCATTGGGTGCTTTGCAGCGGACGGTGAAAACAACGACTGTTGTTTTTGCCAAGTGTGACAGTCAGTGCACTCACTTCACATGTGTTTGTATGCAGCGATTGATACACTCTTTCCCGCAGCATTTTGCAAAACAACCAGTTGTGTTAGCACCATGGAACAACGCACCAGATCGCGATCTCCCACGGCATCACAATGGAGATGGCACTGGGCCACTAACGGCTCTTCATGGTGGCGTGAGTACTTTATCGCATCTCAAGAGTGGATACGAAAGCATTCGGAGCAATCTGATCAGCGTCCGACATCAACGACTCCTACCCAAAAGGAGCCAGTTTCCACTACATCAACTCCTACATCCAACAAGAGAAAGCGGTCAAGAACTCCATGAGCAACATTGCTGAGTTGACAATTAGATGCACATTTGCTGCCTCCGGCAGTCAACAACCACACAGCAAAGCTGTGCTGCGAACTCCATCATTCCTGATGAGGTTCAACATTAAGAGCATCATGTTGAAAGTTCATGCCGGTCGGCGAGGTTGCTCAATTGATGTCTCTGCATACCTCTCTCTCTCTTCTGAAGATCAGCGTATGCACATGCCTCAATCCAGTTGTGACTCCGCAGCCATTTCTCAGAACTACAGTTGCTGAAACATATTTAGGATCGCACACAGATGGACGAGGACGACGACAGCAGCCTATGGGGGTCCGAAGAGATTGATGCCTTCCTGAGGAAGGATGACACCACCACATCCTCCCATGCAGTCAGCCACACACACAAGCAAAAAACAAAGCACACAACGAGGACAAAAACGAAGAAAGACAACAAAGACAAAAAGGACAAAACAGTCATGAAAACAAAGAAAACACGCAACACCTCACCACCATCCCAATCCACAACACAGCAACGACGCCAACATCCACATACTACAAGACGAAAGAGGACACGCTCTTCGCATTCAACATCATCAGCGTCACCTACGGCAACGTCACACATGGCTGAGGACGCACACCGGTCTCCATCTCGAGATCCTTGGTCTTCTGACTCGATTGCACCTTACGATATTGTGCATCCTACTATTCAGCACAAGCGGTCCAAAACCGCTTGTGCAAAAATGCTGGTACGTGCAGGTTTTAGGTGTCGATGCCATTTCAAGATCATGAGTGACTGTCCCAACAAACTCGCTGTTGGACCCTAATTCTCAGGACGGATTAGGGCTGCAAGATCCGCTAAACGTGACAAAAAGCCCGCGCATGCGAGTGTCAGGACGACACCACTTTGTTGTTTTGCCAGTGCACACATCATGTCCATGTTGATTTGCATTCCTTGTTCAAGCTTTTGTCGGTTGATAGCAGCACAAATATGACAAAGCGAAAGGCTGCCGAGGCCGGCCTTCCATGGTACTCCATGGCAGGACAATGTTTTCGGATGACTGTTGAAATTCCACCCGACCGCATCACCAGAGACAAGCACATGTTCTTACACGTGGTGCTTTGTCTGGGCGACAACGTTCTCCAAGCTCGCAAGATCTTCTCCTACCGCATCAAGGAGATCACCGGCAGAACTCCTAAAATCCCAGCTTTCTTCTTCGAACAAAACCGTCGACGACTACATGATTGGGATTCAGTCACCACATTAGCCACGTTGATGCCGGTGCTTTTTGTTAGAACCTGTTCGGATCAGGAAATACGACAATCACCCGACCGCTATTGACAGCGAGAAAAGTGCGCCATTCACTCCTATTGCCGCGCATTTGACCTTTCACTCTTCTTGAAGCATGTACGCCCCATTGGGGCTGTGTGTGTGTGAACCTCCCTAGCACATGGGAGCAGAGGGTCACTCCTACACTGTTTGCAATTTCGCTTTTCAACACAATCCGGCATTGGACATTTACTAAATCAACTGTTGCAGGGGGGCAGGACATCTTTAGCAGCGCCTGCCCAACGAAGAGGCTGCTAAGAGATGCTGATGCGACAGAGGACGCTCTGTTGTGTACCTGCAAAACACAGCTGAGGCCCCTGAGCCAGCAAGATTAGAAGGCCCCTGTGCCAAGATTAGAGAGTTTTCAGTTGCTACTTTTGGTGGTTGATTTGACAACAAACAAGTTGTACGGTTGCCACAATCTGACAAACTTTTGCAACATGAACAACATGCCTCTCTTTTTCCTCTTGCACTCGTACTCTTGGCCGAATCCATCAGTGTGTGTGTGTGTGTGTGTGTGTGTGTGTGTGTGTGTGTGTGTGTGTGTGTGTGTGTGTGTGTGTGTGTGTGTGTGTGTGTGTGTGTGTGTGTGTGCGCGCGCATGTCTCTGTGGTATAGATAGGCGGTGTGTCTGCATGCATGCATCCGTTTGTTGTTTCGCTGCTTGCCAGCTTTCTTGAGGCCGCCGAGCATTGCGAAGGCTGCCATTGCAGCCATGCAAACTCAACAAGCATGTAGATTCAGCCGAGAGTCTGGCGTAGATAGCCCGTCGGTCCAGGTTCAACAGCTCTGACTTTGCCAGCCGCACGCTACTTGGTGTTTCATGTAGCTCATTCTTCGATCACGCTGAAACAAGAAACACTTCCGCAGACTCCCATGCACTCGCCTCCTTACCTAATCCTGTGGTGAGGTTTTGTCCGAAATGCGGTGGCTCGTCGGCACCAGCAGATAGTGCTGACAGCAGAACGGTTCCGACTCCAAGCACAGGTTCCACAATTGCTTTGAATTACCACGGACAGCTCGGCACCACTTGGCTTGCTGCTGGCATGATTGACGGTGACATCGGATGTTGCCCGGACAGCCACATCATGCTCAACTACAAGGCCTGAGATTTGCAGTTTCTAGATGTGTTTTCACGAGCACCTGAGAAATTGATTAGTCTGAACTTGCGGTGCTCGTCCGCAATTCACCGAGGGATAGTCCACCTTGAAGTTTTGCTGGAGGCACCTTGGTTCGACCTGACCGAGCACGTGCTGCATCGGTTTCCTGAAGGTGGTTGATACCAACGCGAAGGTGACATCACGGTTCGGTGTAAAGCGCCGGCATCTGCAACATCTTCACAATCGGTCAACGACGTCCGAGTACTAAGTCGGCATGCAGTCGCCGACACGGTTGCTGGCTTCAGTGAAGATTTGTTCAAACAGGCAAAGGGCAGAATGGGCAGCTCTCTTGGCTCGACTCTCCGGAACGAGCTGGTGTGAGGAAGCCAGCCACGGCTTGCATCGACAGATTGGATGGCTTGCGGAAAGTCTTTTGCTTCCTAAGCAACTCTTTCTCTCGCAGCAGCTGGTGCTGTACCACACTGCACCTCCACTTGCACTGCAGGCTTGGCCTCGTGTACAAAATCGTCAGCGAGACGAGCGGTGCTTAATCGCATGACGGACCAATCAACAGGCCCTCATCAGAAGCTGTCGGTCGTACCGAGGTATGAACCCATCCCTCCCCAGTACAGTGCGGACTTGCGCACTCTACTGGCCAGGGCCTGACAGCTGAAAACAACATGCCGGTGAGTGTGAGGCATGCACACATGAGTCCCCAATCTCCTCAGGATGACATACTCGAGAAGTCCTCAAGCAAGAGGCCGAGTGGCCAAGAGTTGATTGCAAGGGTTGGGAACTCAGCTGACGAGACAGGCTGGCATCCTGCTAAAAAAAATTCACGTCGTACCAGCGCACCGGAACTTGAGCACAATGAGGCTTATGTTCGGCGATTCGATGCACCAGGGCAAGCCGACAAGGATGCGAAAGAAGCCCGAACAGGCAAGGTTGCAAATTGCTGGATGTGATAAACAGCCTGGCGATTTAGTGAGTGCCAGTGGTGGTCTCGCGAGCATTTTCATGGCCAGGGAAGGGCTCCAAGGAGACGACTGAGCCCGGAGCCTTGACATTCGCACAGCTCACATTCTTAAAAGTCTCAGTTGACATGGGCACGGTTGCTTGTTTGAACCGCATGTTGTTCTAGACCATATGTCACAGTGCAGTGGCGCCACAGTTTACACTTCAGCTGTCAGCCCGTGGCGAGTTTGAAGCATCGAGGCCAAAGGCAGCTCCAAAGCCGCCGGTCAAGTCTTCCATGGAGAACTTAAAGAGAGCCTGAGCTCCAGTTTCACGATGCTTTCCGTTTTTGAAGCTTGCCAATGGAAGCCTTCTCACAAAGTGTCAAGCAAGGAAGGTGTAGTGTATCCTTTTCTGAGGTTGAACCAGAACCTGTTCAGCCCATCATAGAGGCTTGGATGGATGCCACCCAACTCCTTTCGTGCAACATACCTCGTCACCTCGTCATTCCAGGATCAGCCGGTTCGGCGAGAATGGCATGCCTCACGCTTGGTTCGATTTCGTCTACTTTGAGTATTCTGACAAGGGCTTGCAATGACATGTTGCACTTCAAACATGACCGAACTTGTGCGACCGGCAGTCGTAAGCCAATCCACGCGGGTTACAAAACACCGCAAGTGGCTGCCGAGATTCTCTTAAGAGCGGTTCTGCGAATCTGATAAGGCACCGCCTTTCGTTTCGACACCAGCCAGAGGCTTAGGTACTCGCCGTCTCTCAAGGCACGTGAGTCTATGTCGGCTCCCTGTCTATCCACACGAGGCACCGCAGCATACGCTGGCGGAGGGCGAGCTCAGGGCCATTTGCTCAACCTCCACATTGCAGGGCTGGTTCCGTCTGCCTCGCTCCGTGTTCCTCCCTCGACGTCCCTCGCCCCCACGCTTTTTCTAGAATTAATTTCGTGTTCATCAGGGAAAAAAACGCATGGGGGTGCACATTTCGTCCGAAGACCGAAGCCGCATGTTGAAGACACTTGGGGCCGCCGTCTCAGGCTCTCTGGAACGGCATCCGAAGACACATGCGAAAGTGGGTTCCCGCTAATTGTGGCGTCAATTAGCCAGGGCGTCCCCGGATGTGTCGTCAGGACGCGGCGCGCGAAACCCAACAAGCTTTCACGAACACACGTCGTGGTGTCAACACGTGGCGTCACGAAATGTGGCGTCAGCACGTGGCACCTGCATGGGGCCGGGGCCTTCCAAGCATGTGTCGGCAAGGGCGACCACCCTGTGTGCCAAAAAGCGCGAATCGTGGCTTCGAAGTCGTGATGCCGGGCTGCTAAGGTGCGGGTACTACTCAGCCGCGTTCGCAGGGCAGGCAGCTGAGGAGATGCGATGTGGAAGCTGCAGTGAAGCTCGCTTTTGGTGTCTGTAAAGATGCTAGCACGAAAAACAGCTAACGCAGCAGGAGTTGCCATTTCTCTCCGGATTTCGAGTCAGATGTCACCGATTTGAGTTGCTTGAAACCCAGGGCCTGTCGGCGCGTCGACAGAACTGGCTTCAGGTGGGTTCGCTCGTGGCATGATAATTCAGCATGTTACCAAGCCAATACCGTAGCGGCACAAATGTCCGCAGCTTGCCTCTCCAGGTATTCGCCAGCTTCGATAGGAAAGGCGACGGGCAGCTAAAGGAAGCTGAGCGGGTCACCTAGAAGTCCCCAAGGGGATTCAGGGCGAGCATGAACATGTGAGACTGCGCAGACGGGCGCATCGCTTCTGCTCTCCGTTCGTTTCATCAGGTTCGAGCGGGCCGTGACTTCCATGGCTCTGGGGCTCAGTGACCAAGAAATTCGCGAGGCCCCTGTGTTTGCTCATGCTTCGTGGCCCGCTATCGAAGTAGTGTCTTTCTAGCCATTCATGTTTGTTCACTTGCATCCCATGCCACGGGCAGCGAGGAGGCATATGGGTAGTTGTCAAAATTATGGTCCCTTTTGGGGTACCCCAAATAATTGGTGCCGTATTATAGTAGGACCCAAAAAGGGACCATAATTTTGACAACCACCCTTGGGCTTAACTATCGGTCACAACTTCCGCGGTGCACAAATGCATTTGCTGTGGCTTTCTGTCGGCTCGCAGCATGTTTATCATCTCATTTATCCTCTCCAGCACACATCTCTAGCCCACCTTGCATCCGGTCAACGCCGCATGATCGCCCACAGATGAACATGCGACCACAGTGTAGGATTTGCTGCAGGCAATTGTGGGCAGCGTGTTTGACATCTAGAGAGCGGCATGTGCTGGTGCCGCATGCTGCGCCGTTTATAGCCAGTCGCCCAGCAGCTCATGCAGGAATCAACTCGTGTAGGTAGCTTGCTGCGGCATTGTGCTTGCATTGCTAGGTCTTCGGGTGGGGGTGTTTCTGTTTGTGTTTCGCCTTTTGTCAGGGCCTGTTTTTGCTGATCTGATTGACCGGCATCAGCTTGTCGCTGAATCGCAAAGCCACATTCAGAACCAGCCATCGTAAGTCCCACTCAATTGAGGAGAGCGTCTGGTTGCAGCAAAATCGAGATTCAAGACAAGTCTCGACATTCTGCCAATGCAATGCAGCCTTTTGTTTTCCAGGAGCGGCCATATGGTTTGACATGTTCGACTTCGAGGCCCTCGCTGATTTCGCACGAAAAAAGATAGAAAGCAAGGATTATCTCCCTTTGAATCGCTGAGTCCCTGCGCGCCCGCCTCGTGCACGGAAGGGGCAGGGGCAAGCAGGGGGGCGAGCGGCCGCCGCTGATAGACCTGGAGTCACGGGTAAACTCCATGCTTGCTGATCGCAAGTGCTGATTACGACATTTTCCGAGATGCAATCGACTTCAGCAATCAGTCAGTTGCGAGGGGGTAAAGGCAGCACTGATGCTCATAGTGAATGTGTGGAAATGTGCTTCGTGCTGCCTTCTGCACGGAACCGTGTGAGGCCTCTCATAAAGCCAAGATGAAACCATTCCTGGAGAACATCGCCCCGTCAAGCCCTGCGGCGAAAAGCGTTATCTTCCTGTGTAAGCCCTGCAAACTGCCCATGCTCTGTGATCTGAACAAGCTTTCTTTCTGGTTTCTCGTTGGCACAGGCTTTGTTTACTAGCTGAACGATCCATTACGTTTTCCGGAGCGGGTGTGAAGCAGGCAATCCTGCTTCCTTTGCGAGGCACACGCACTCCTCACAGATGTAGGTGGAGTTGAACCCAGCGAGCAAACACTGCAAATAAGCAAGCAAGTAAAGTATGAAGTATGCAAGTAGGTTCACAACAAAATGAGTGAATGACGGCTGCATGCTGAGCACCAAAGATGGGTCAAGCTTGAAGGCCATGGAAGTAAATGGTGCAGTCGGCCAAGCTACCAGTCACTTGGACAAGTTTGCGCTCGCTGGACTGTTGTGAACCTTTTCCGTTAAGCCGGGTCCAGCGACACGATGTCTATCTACATGCAGGGCGGGGAGCAGAAGATGTGGACAAAGATGGCGGCATGCCTGAATCGAGCGACCGCGGCACAGGGGGGGGTTTTCTCACTTGACTCTGGACGCTTCCTAGCCTTTGCCTTCCGGCTCCTCGTCATCTAAGGAAACACTGCGCTGCATCGACTTCTGGCCGCTGCATCACAGAGTGGATCGGAGACAGCGACGGTACATTGGCAGATATAGCGCGTGTCAGCTCTTTGCTGCTACTATTGTGGGAAGCCAGCCGATTGAAGTGGTTGAACCAGGCCACTACTATTTGGGATAGTGCTGGAAAGCATGCAGGACCCGGTGCGGCGCATGCTGAGTGCGAGGGCAGACGTCAATGTCTCCAATGCTTTGGGAGAGACGCCACTTCTGCCACACGCCAGGATGGAGCTTGCTTACTGTAGCACTCTTGTTGTGCTGGGACACATGTGTTTGGCTGAACGGAAGTTTCGTCGACATGTAAGCCGCCGCACATGTGTCTCGAGTCCACAAATCTGGACACAATGCACTCCAAGCTTGGAAAAGCTAGCGGAACCGGACAGTAACAGTAACAGAATGCTGTCACATTAGCCAAACTTCCAAAAAAGTCATGTGTGCAGCCGTTGCTAAGGTCGCTGTTGAGGGCCTCTGGGGATCTGAATTCCACGCGGGCTTTGTGCACCATTTTGCTGCGGGCAAGAGCGGACCCGAATTGCAGTGACTCCATCACGGGCGAGTCGGCTTTGATGGAAGCTGCATGTCTGGGTGACAGGACTGCTCCATAAACTCAGAATGCGCTTTTGTGCGGCAAGAGAAGATTTAGATGCATGCATGCGAGTTGCACCCGATCAGTTTCCGGAGCAATCAACCCCAGGAGCTTGTGCCTCTTGCTGCTTCAGGCCCAAGCGGACATCAGTCAATGAAGCAAGACCGCAGAAAGCATGGTTTGTGCCCACAGGGACGACCCGTCTTGCTGTCGAAAAAGCATTGGGTGTAGTTGGCTTCGACACTGAACAGTGAATTAAGAGTCTATAAGAGTCTCCTTTCTAGAAATCCACAAAATTCCAACGTTCAAGGGGGAAAAGCAGAGATAGGTAGGGGATTGGTTCCCATTGCTTACAGCTCTGCAGAGCCCACATTACAAGAAGAACTTCTGTTGAAGCTGCTATTCTGCCAAGAACAGTTGCTTTTCGTGTGGTCAGCTCCGTCGAAGAGCACTCACTCAACCCTGCAAGCCGAGGCAATTCTAACGGGCAGCAGGCAAGCGATGTTGCCATAGCAGCTGGCCATTCGGAATTGGCACAGCTATTGGCCAAAGGCAGACCTGGATACAGTCTCGGTGAGGTGTGGGGTTAAAGAGCCTGCGGAGCCTCAACTGTAATCATTGCTGGATTGGAATCACATGCTTTCCAGGGAATCAGACTCAGCAGCTGACGGCGAGCAAATGCAGACAAGAGCGCAGAACCTCCGCTTATGCTTCCGCCAGGCACAGGAGCTGATGAGCGAAACGATCCGGCTGCAGCCGAGCTTGGCATCCGGTCGTCGCCGCGTGAACAGCAGGCCAAATTGCAGCAACAGGGTGATGGCTTTCTACTGTCTGATAAAGCAGGACCTGCCACAAGACCCTGGCGCAACAGCAGAAAGCTCCGTGCCACCACAGCGACCGAAAGGACCGTGGGAACCGATATGAACAGTCGCAGTCATGCCCCGTGCCACCTGATCCCCTGCAGGGCGACCTCGAGGGCGCGGGGCACTCTCCGGTGCCATGCAGAAGCGCTGCCACTCGCAATTCTTGAGTTTGTTTCAAGGTCATCGCAGCAATGCCCATTGAACACCACTGAACCGTATACGAGACCACATGCGCCATGTCTGAAGCTGCCGAGGCGAGGAACATGGCGTTCCGCTAGATGTTCTGGGGCTGGTAGCTTCAAGTGAGCTCCTGAAGGAGATAGATCGATGGCTCCGAAGCTGCAGCTTTGGGAGGAAGAGAGGAATGGGGAGCGGACTTTCATTACTAAGTCGAGCCATCCTTATGTCAGCACTGTTGAGCTGAACGCACACCCAGCGAAGCGAAGAAAATTGAGATGAGGCAGACGCTGACTGAAGCAGAGCTGGCTTCGGAGTGGGAGGCCCACGGCATGGAGACGGAGACCGAGAGCATCCAAGGCTGCATTATGATCTGGGCCAGTGGGAGTTAATTAAAACTAGAAGACAATTGGCCCGAAAGCATCATCAGCGAAGAGTGTTGCGCTACGTCATAGAATCCAGTGTATAGGGTCATAGAGTCACCGAGTCAAAAGCACGGAGTCACAGAGTCGGAGTGTCACATACAGTCAAGAGTCGTACAAGTCATAGTTCATAAAGTCATCGAGAAATAGAGTCGAGTACATGTCAAGCACAAGTCATAGTTCAAAGAGTCATAGAGTCATATAGAGTCATAGAGTCACAGTGAGACAGAATCATAGAGTCATAGTGTTATAGAGTCATAGCGTCAGAGTGAGAAAGAGTCATAGAGTCATGGAGTCATCTATGTACCACGCACTTGACTTGATGTAGTTCACTCTATGAACACTAATGTTCAGGTTTAGCGGGTTTAGGGTATAGTCCAACATGACGCAGAAGTCTTCCTTTCCTAGCTCCGGAACCTCACTATATAGACATCCCTGTTACTGTGGTTTCAACGTGACTCTATGACTCTATGCATGGTCACTTTATGTCGCAGCAGTAGTAGTAGTAGTAGTTAGTTGTAGTTGTTGTTGTGGTACTAGTAGTAGTAGTAGTAGTAGTAGCAGTAGTAGCAGTAGTAGCAGTAGTAGTGGTAGTAGTAGTGGTAGTAGTAGTAGTAGTAGTAGTACTAGTAGTAATAGCAGTAGTAGTAGTAGTAGTAGTAGTAGTATTCTTTTGTAGTAGTGGTAGTAGTAGCAGTAGTAGTAGTAATAATAGTTGTAGTAGTGGTAGTGGTAGTAGTAGTACTAGTACTAGTTCGAACACTCGACAACGCCAATCTCTGTGAAGGGTTGCAAGTTTCACCTCAATTTACATCAAAAGTAATAACTTTACCTCGCGTTCGAACACTCGACAACGCCAATGTGTGTGAAGGGTTGCAAAATTCATTCAATGCACATCAAAAATTGCAACTTTACCTCGCGTTCGAACACTCGACCACGCCAATCCCTGTGAAGGGTTGCAAAATTCATTTCAATGCACATCAAAAATTGCAACTTTGCCTCGCGTTCGAACACTCGACCACGCCAATCCCTGTGAAGGGTTGCAAAATTCATTTCAATGCACATAAAAAATTGCAACTTTGCCTCGCGTTCGAACACTCGACCACGCCAATCCCTGTGAAGGGTTGCACAATTCATCTCAATGCACATCAAAAAATGCAACTTTACCTAGCGTTCGTGCATTCGACCATGCCAATCCCTGTGAGGGGGTCGCAAAATGCCAATCCCTGTGAAGGGTTGCAAAATGCAGTTGAGCTGCGCCCAAACCCTGTGAAGGGTTGCGCGGCGCCCGCAAAATGTGTAACTTTACCTCGCGTTTGAACGCCCGAGCCCGAGGAGGCGAATCCCTGTGAAGGGTTGCGCCGGGCGCCTAAAATGTGTAACTTTACCTCGCGTTTGAACGCCCGAGGAGGCGAATCCTTGGGAAGGGTTGCATTCCCGATGGACGACGACGGTGCCACCCCTGGCTTTAGAAGAGAGATTAGATACCGAGAGGTAGAGAGTAAGTCAGAGAGTAAGTCACAGAGTAAGTCATAAGTCACAGAGTAAGTCATAAGTCAGAGAGTAAGTCACAGAGTAAGTCACAGAGTAAGTCACAGAGTAAGTCAGAGAGTAAGTCACAGAGTAAGTCACAGAGTAAGTCATAAGTCAGAGAGTAAGTCACAGAGTAAGTCACAGAGTAAGTCACAGAGTAAGTCACAGAGTCATAGAGTAGTCAAGTGAGTAAGTCACAGAGTCTTCAAGTTCATAGAGTCATAGAGTAGTCAAGAGTAGTCAAGTTCGGTCTTAGAGTCATAGAGTCATAGGGTCATAGAGTCGTAGACTCAAGTGTCAAGTCATAAGGTCATGTGCTCGATTCTATGTTTGTCATCTATGTATCAAGTGTCAAGTCATAAGGTCATGTGCTCGATTCTATGTTTGTCATCTATGTACTTGTCTACCCGGCTCCGCACGGAAGAACCCTTCGCGACGCTTTCGGGAACAAATTCCACATTCCATGGCCAAGACGAGGAAGAAGTGACTGAGTGAGTGTTGACCTGATTTGCTCTCCGGCGCACCCTCTCGCCCTCTTTGCCCCTCCGCATGCATCATCGGGGCTCCAGTGCGGTGCAGAATTCAACGCTCGCCCATTAGACTGGAGCCCGGACTGAGCTTGGGTATTAGGGGAGAGGGGTTTCGCTGGCATTCTGGGAGTCAGTGTTCAGGCGATTGCACTAGTCCTTTGCCACCCGAAGCCGCCCCAAGCCGGGCGGCTTGGGTTAGAATTAGAATTGGGCATTTGGCAAGACAGCTCACTTCTGAGGAAGAAATACAAGCTCTTCCGTGCTTATGACTTCAGTGAGGAATTTCGCTGTGCTGAGGCGTTGCCTGATGCTGAAGGCATAACGATAGTAACACCCCTTACCTGAATGGGTCAAGACGACAAGACGACAGATGCAGATGGCCTTGCGTGCTAAACAACTGTCTGTGCGCTCGAAGGCATGAGGCCCCGGGATGAGTTGGAAGCGCGACTTAAGCAGCTACGACTTTGGCGTTTGCTGCCCATGGAGGCTGCTCCATAGCCAGATCAGACGTGTTGCACGCTCATAGGGCCTGCGCTTTTCGTTGCGTTTTCTCGTCAGACATCTGGTGAGCCAGGCACTTCAAGATGCCTGCCGACGCGAGGCTGGGCATCTGGTGACTGCGGACGAGGGCCCGCTTTCGCGGCAAGAGCTAGTGGAGGCAAGGTTCCTGCATGGATTGGATGTTGGCCACAGCTTCGCCCGTGCGTTGGGAACAGTTGCGTCTTGCTGAGCATGCCCAACCTGCAACTCCATCAGCTTAACAGTGACCAACATTGATCGTCTGCACTAGTCCAGTGTGGGCTAACAGTGGACAGCAAGGCTCTTCAAGTGGCGACGTGGGGCGGGCTGACGCGGCTTCAGAGAACTAGGAAACGCTGTGCCGAGAAGGGCATCCCCGACAAGAAGCCGCTGAGAACAAAATGACAATCCAGGGGGCAAGAACAGCATACATGTGGGTTACCGGCCTAGAACCGCTCACAGAGACAGCTTAGGCTGGAAAATCGCGAAAGGGCTGAGCACATACTGCAAGAGTTCGAGAAGTTGGAGAACATGAAAGAAGCAGACCTCATCAGACAGTACAAGGGCAAAGGCTTTGCCCACGATGCGGACTTGAGCCAGGCCTGGCGAGCAGGCTTACTCTCATCTTGGGTGTGTTGTGCTTTGCAGCTGAGGATGAGTTGCTGTCTGCCTTGAAGGAATATGTGCTCCTCAGCCTGGGAAGTGGGCTTGTTCACTTCAGAGCCATCAGGAAGGGAGAGGGGTGAATTTGCCTGTGGTCGTTGCAGTTGTGAGTCAATGCAGCTTGCAGAGCTCAGGCTTTTTCAGGAGATGTCGCTGTCGCACCTTCGACAGATCTGCAAAGAGAAGAACTTGGCCATCAGGCTGATGCTGGGTAGACAAATCTGAAGAACCATCACGAGCCGGATCGAATCAGAAGAGCAGCGCTTGCGAGTACAGTTGTCACGTCTGTCTAGGGATCCGCCCCGCCCCCCCGCTCTCGCTGTTGCATGCATGGAAGCACATGCAATCCTCCAAAAGTCTGAAAGGGGCGAGCACCGGCGCACAGAGCTTATTGCCTTGGTTACAGCTGCGCCTTTGCCTGCAATGTGGGTTGTGGTTGCTTGAAGTCTACCGCAGCCTACAGGCCCGTCATCGGGTGTTTACACCACGTCTGTAAACTGCTGACGCACCATGTTTCGTAGCGAAGTGAAACTCCTCCTGAAAGCTTAATCTGCCTCTGGAATAACTGGACGGTACTTGGCTTAGCGAGCTATTTGGGAGGATAGACGGGCGATGTTGGTACTTGTGAGTGGAATGATGCAGCGAATGCATCATCACAACAAGCGTGGCTTTCCAGGACAGCTGGCAGCGCTTTCAGATTCCTGTCCTCAAGACTCTTGGCACATCTACATTGTTTCAGCACAAGAGTAAGCAAGCACAACGAGCAAGCCAGTGCTTCCTTCGTCATGATGCTCACCTACTTCCCCCTGAACTGCCGGCAAGGATGCCAAGTACTCTCGTGGCGCAGGGATTGCTGGATCAAGTTCAACGATTCCAGAAGAAGGATCGACGGCGAGTTGATACATGTTTGTGTTCAGACTACAGCACTTTGATTGCTGGTCGACAGCAGAAAGTAGTCAAGAGTTCGACACGCATATTTGTGTGGTGGACCTTTGTCACTCTCGGTTTCGTACACACGTCATGCATAGCTTTGACTGGCAGGAGCTGCCGCAGTTGCGCCATGAATGCCGAAAGCGGAACTTGCCTGCGGAGTCCCATCCACGCAAACAGGACTTGATAAATCGATTGCGGAATCACTTGGCAACTCGGTCACGGAAGATTGCACAAGCAAGTGTGGTGCAAGGCAAATCGGAGCCTGCAAGCGAAGCTTGCTTCCAAGGTCTGGTCGCAGATGACAACGGATGGTCTGCGGGAGGAATGCCAAGCCAGAGAAGTGAAGTTCCAGACTGTGCAGGCTGCAACAGTGTCGTATTAACGAAGAATTCAGACGCTGTGTCAATTCAGGTGGCCTCGAATGCGTCTCACATGTTGAAGATGCCTTTTGGACCGCCTTGAGACGCTGCTTCTGAACCTCTGACCACTGGAGTGCTTCCTGCGTCACAACAGAGTCATTTGCGCCTTGCTAAGGCATGCAGAGAGAGCTGAGAAGAAGGAAATGATTGATGCTTTGCATTCCTGGCTCGTAACCGAGATGCTTGAGCTGATTCTCGGATACTGTTCAGAATTGATCCCTCACTCCTCCGACAGTGGCAGAAACTTTCCCAGGAAGGGCATTCCTGTCAAAACCGTGGGGCATGAAGTTGTGCCTGGGATGCAAGAAATATGTGTGGAGTGGTAGACTTCACAATCTCGCGAGTCAGGGTGAAGTTGTCTTAAGACGTCCCGCAGGGCTTGGGCATCTTCACGGAGGTTGAGCGCTACGAATCTATGCCGGCGTCTCTACTACAGGCAGTGCCCTACCTTCCTCCACAACAGCTTGGAGCTGACAGCAGCAGTTATCCCAATCTCTACATCTCGCCGCGTCTCAGTCTTGTGCATCACTCTGGGCATCCAAGTCGTAGGTATAGGTTCGAGGTGCTCAGCTGTTGTATGTGTTGTGTCGAGTCTGACCTTTGGTGTCAAGAAGGCTTTTGAGCCTAGTGAGATAGAGGCTGCAGTGAATCATGCTGCGAATTACATGTGCCAGATGGAGCAAAAAAACATGTGACCCCCTCAAGATGAAAGGAAACATGCTGAATCAAAAAACGGGCCAAGGAGCTTAAGTGCACTGGTGTCAGCAGTCCTCCGTGCAAAAGTCATTGAAGCCCACGACAGGCAGAGTATGCGACGCTTGGGATGCCCAGTGAGCCCAACCTCGACGACAAGGAGCTTCTGAGGCGATTGAAGCAAGTGCTTGAGCTGCAACTGCGGAAATGCGACTTCGGTCGACCCATATGATTCCAGCCGCTTTGGCTCGTATGATGTTCTCGTCAGAACAGGTACTTATTTGGTCACAGCTTTCGGAGCCTTGATCGCAACGAAAAGACAGTTGATGGCGCAGGTCCTGTCTAGCACCCGTTTTGGCATTCACCCGGCCTTGCAAAAAGTGGGTGTGTCATGATTTCTTCAGGTTGATGAGCTGGTAAAGGAATGTGAGGCGAGGGAGCTCAGTTCTGGTGGCTTTCCCAACCGGCCCAGCGAAGCAGACAAGATCCAAGCCCCTGAGCTGCAGGGCACGTCAGCATGGAGAGTGGGATTGCGATGCTTTGTGTTCCAGTGCCGGGCAAGCGAAAACACTGCATAGTGCTGGTCGTGTCGATCCAGGAATTTTACAGTATCGGAGCCCACTTGCACCGCAGTTCTTCCAACACCGCAACACATATGCTACACTGACCAAAAGTACGGAAGCCAGGGAGTGTAGAACTGGTAGTCTGCACGTTGCTCGATTTTTGTCGGTCAGGTGCTGATGGACCGACTTATACTCAGCCTTGGTGTGGATGGATGGGAAAAACAAGGCTTGAGTAAATCCAAGTGCATGCCATCACTTTGGGTTGCTGTACTGCGTGCCAGAAACCCGATGCATGATGTCCATCATGCTCTCCAGGCATCCCGGTCTATCGGCTAACCAGCCTGGAGGCAGCCATTGTCATAGTCGAGGACTTCCGAACGGCGGGTTAAAGCTACACCGAGTCAGCACAAAGACATGAAAAGCCCAGATTCTTCATTGGTTTGGAAGGTGCTGCTCAACCATTCAGCACTCTTGCAGGAACTTGGCCGGCTGGAGGCTGCAAAGCAGGCAGATGTCAGCGCAGCGTGGCTCGGTGGCATGAGAACGTTGAGAAGCGCTTCAAAGATCGTTGTTGGTCCTGCGGTGCTGAGTTCACAAATGATGCAAGTTGTCATTGAAGAGTCGCACTCGGCCAAGGTACCGTTTGCTGGGCCTGCCACCTGAAGCCCTGGACAAAGCAGCGATGATCTCCCGATTGAAGCACTATCTTGTCTGGCAAGAGCTCCGGCCCTTTAGCTGCATGAACTTGAACGACACGACCCTTCTTGCAATCACAGATGCTGCAAGAGTGAGCGTACCTTTGCATTAGCATTGTGAGCCTTGCAGTCCTGAAGGTATCGGCTTCGGAAGAGTGTTTGCTAACAAGTCTGTTGGTACATAACAGCAGGCTGAGCTGGTGTCCCTTTGGGTCGTGCCATCGAGGCCAGCAGAGCTCCGCAAGGAGTGTCTCAAACATGGCATCTCTGCACTGGGAGATCCTGAGGCAGGCTGCGTAAAGCGCTGAAATGCTGAGCTGTTGGCTTGCAATCGTACATAGATGACTTAGGGTTTCCGTATGGCTCGTGACGAGGAGCTTATTGCGCTGCTTGTCTTGAAGATGCTTGGCTCCACAACTGGGTGTCTCTTGACATACTATGGCGACCAGTTCGGCGATTTGTGGGGCAGGACCACCCCTGTCTCTCTCAGGAATTGGGGCGTGCTGCCAGAAGACTGGGAGGCACCAGACCCTCCCGACTGGTCACGTTTCGAGCCACCACCGCGGCGACAAAGTGCCATGTCGCTTCAATTGATTCCTGACATCTGCGCGCAGCGCGATGCAATCGACTCTTCAGTGATGCGGGGTTTGGAGCTGTTCTGCACTGGCATGGCTGGTCAGGCGCTCCCGATTTCGAGAGTGAATCCGCGGTGTAGTGTGTGTGTGTGCAGGATTTGCAAAAAGGCGGTGGCTTTGTATGTTACGAGGATCCCGGTTTTGAACCACCTGTCGCCAAAATTTGCTGGCACTTTCGCAACGACACCGTGATATCCAGCCCGCAAACACCATGCACCCTATGCCTTTTTTTTCTTCGAACAGGGTCCCCGGAGGTGTAGCGGTGTAGCGTGCAAGCGATATTTGCTCTCACCACATTTGGCACTACCGGCCCGGACCAAGGTCCAGCTCCTGCTCCGCCTTCAGCCAAAGTCGCTGCAGCCTTCCGCGAGTGGCTCGGTCTCAAGTTTATTACGATGTATGTAGCATACACAGTCCACAGCCGCCTTCATTCATCAAGCAGAATCACACCACAAACTGCTTTGTCAGCTACTCTTCGAAGCGGTTTCTCGAGCAAGATCTGAGGCTGGGACTGGAGCTGTCAGCAAGCCATGAACAGGCGCAAGCGCGGCATGTACATGCAGTTCCGCATTGTCCATCATGCACTGTTAGCAGCAGTTCCGTGAAGTTGACTGCGGCATCTCATTGCGTTTTCGCCCCCACCTTCATTGTCACTCTCACTCACATGCATTGACTCCGAATGCGCAGGTTCGGAAGGCATATCGCAAGCTGGCTCTACAACACCACCCGGACAAAAATCCTGGACTGCATCAAGACCAGGCAGTCAAAAAGTTTCAAACGATGCTCACTTGCATTGGTGTAGCTGGTTTTCGTTGTCTAGAATCCAGAAGATGCAGCTTCCTGTTTCGGGGCCATGACACAGCGAAAGGTGCAGCACGGACGTGCGAGGGAGCTAGTACTGATACTTCCTGTTCGCTAGTTTCATGGTCATTCATGCCCGTGCCGCTGGAGTAAGTTGACACCGGACTGGTTCCCTCATAGAAGAAGCCCCTTCAGTTCAGTGTTTTGACATCCTGCACCCAAGGATAACCACTTCGTATGAGACCGTGCTGGACCACATGAAGAAGCTGTCCGTGTGATTGCAGCTGCAGATTGAAGCACGCCAAGGCACTTCACTGGACATTCGATGCCAAGCCCAGCGGGAATCCGGAATGCCGTGATCTCTGAGCCCTGGGATTGGCAACCAGAGCTGGAGCTCCAGTAGCTGTTACAGATGGGAGAAGGAGCACCCGGAGATGATGCACCTGCAGAGCAGTCAGAGCTTCTTTTGAGTGTACATAGGTCCATGATTGGACAAACGTTAATAGACTCGGCCTGAGCAAAAGACTCGTTCGAGCAGTCGACGTTTGAGTTGCCAATCGTCGAAAATCACGAGTTCCGTGGATCTCTGGGACGGCAGAAATGCCTGATAAAACATGCTGCTGCTTGAGTCATCACGAACACTTTTCGTTGCAGGTCCGCATCTTTTTGCAGGGTGCATCGAGCCACGTGCCTGTGGACCTGTTCGGTGACGCACTACACCGTCCGCGACTTAAGCGTCATCCGTTTGATCACTGGATTGCTGATCAAACATGTCGTGCAATAGGTGCCTGAGCGAGTTAGCTGACAGACCGCATGCCTATTGCAGGTAGTTTTCCGGAGGTGCAGCATTTGGAGGAGATTCGAAGCCACGTATTTTCAATGTCCGAGCACCCATTACAGCAGTTGCGAAGGAAGTCTAAGGCAATGAGGGAAGTATTCGCATGCTTGATGAGAGGCACGCACGCCAGTACCGCCGGGCCCGGGGAGTTTGAGCCTTGGTTGTTGATACCAACATTGTGCAACGGGGGCTGTGTCAAACAGTTGCAGGCTGTCTGGTCATAAGCTACCAGATCGGTGTAAGATCCCCATTCCCACTCCCACTGGCGGTTTTGACGATGACAACTAGAGCAGATTCTTTTGCGTCAGTTTCTGATCTAAATGTTTTGCAAAGACGCATGAAATTCGCGATGTTTGTGTCAACTCACAGCCGCTGGCCAAACCTGAGCTGCCGCTGGAAGGCAAAATTAAGACGGCAATCCAGCTTCATTTCAACAACGGATTAGAGGCGTAGGACGTCCTGCAACACGATGGGATGACCGATTGGCCAGCTTTTTCAGCTCAACATTTTCCAGAAGAGGCGTGCTGGAGATGCAGCAAGCAATATGCGTGAGTGGATGTTCAAAGAATCACTGCTTGTCGGCATGTTTAAATCATAGAAGCACAGCGAACTCTTTTCACTTTCTTGCTCCGTGCCCGTGTAGGACCGTAGCTTGACTCGAACGGGCAAAGGAAAAGGCAAAGGCAAGAGGCAGCAGCATGGCCCAAGCGAGTGGAGGACTGGGCGAAGCTGCTGCTGAACGAACTTGCGCAGAAGGCCATGACCGAGGACGACGCCGAGATCTCAATCGATGACACGTTTGTGATATTTCTAGGGCCGGAAGTACTTGTTGGCAACCATCGCCTTGTTATAAGGCAAGGCATGGAGGTGTAAGACCCTGGTTGGTTGTCAGCGTGTTCAGAACCCTCGCAGTGCCAGTGACAAATAGACCCTGATCATTCATGCTTTTGTATATATCACCGCGTTCAGACTTTAGCGTCTTCTGCACTTTGAAAAGTTGAAACAGTTGACCACAGAAGTGTCCCGAGGCCAAAGCTCGAGACGTGTATCCTGGAGCTCAGGTGCGAATTCACAGCCGGATGCTTAAGACCTTGCATGTCACCGCACAACTTCCGTGAATTTAGATGACGGACCTTCAACAGTACAGTTTATGTTAACGACAACTTCACTTTCCTCCAGTTGACTGAGGCTTGCAAAGCGCCATGGGTGCAAAGCTGAATGGGTGTGAAGGCATTGTGGAGACCTGGAATGCACTGGGCTTTGGCGGATGTGCACAAGTGTGGGATCGCTTCTTTTTGTGCAGTACCAGTAGCACTCGAAAGAGATCCAGCAATTCTTGCTGCATGATACGCCGCGTACTGGACCACAAGGGGAAGCCTTGAAAGGCTGGTGTTTTTTCTGAGGCTGCAACTTGCCGCTGGAATGTCCGGATTGCAGGAGTTGGTGTCAAGCCCCTTCCTGAGAGCTTTCTCTGTCGCGAAATTGTGTCCCAGGCTGCAAGCCAGACTTGGCATCTCAGCATTTCTCAGGTCCATTCGCGATGAGCACCTTGAGCAGCTCAATCCTGGAGCCGCTCTCTCAGATCCTTTCAAAGATTTCCCTCATGCGGAGGGACTAGGGATGGGCAAAGCGGAGCAAGTAGTATCTGTTCACAATGGCCGCAACATTTGTAGGAGAATCCCATTCGTGGAGCTGCTGGGAGTCTCGAGGCATTCGGCGCACCGAAAATGCCTGCATCTTCCACAGGAACTGATACGCAGCTGCCTTAGATACTCTGCAAAATTGCAGCCGGTCATGGTACGAACGTTCTGCGAGGGGCAGAACCACTCAAGAGCTGCATGTGTTGAAAGAGTTGCTACACTCAACTGTAGCTTCAGCCAAGACCCGGCCAAGGATAGCCATATATCGACTTCTTTGCAAAGACGGTGTCACTGCAGTTCATGAGAGCACGCGGCCCAGCTGGTCTGTTTCCTGAGCTCTTCAGATTTGCCTTGAGCCAAGGCGACTTCCAAGCGGTCGTGCAGCGCCACTGACATAGTCACCCTTTGTGGAAACTCCGCTTGCCCAAACTCGATTGAATATTTTTGATGCCGTGTATGGAGTAGCACAGGATGTTTTACCAAGGCCTTCTCCCTCAAAGTGAAGAGCAGCACAAAAAGCTCCTGTGGCTGCTGCCAAAGTGCTGGAAACTTGGAGTATCCAAGCCTGGCGATAAGATTCATCAAGTAGACATCACGCAAGTGTATATCGGAAGGATACACGCAAGTCGTGGGACATGGTTCCGGCCTTCGTCGTTGTTGTGCAAAGGGCCATGGCGAATCAAATTCAGTTCTTTTGCTCTGTTGGAGCATTCATTAGAACCCTTGAAACACATAACAACTTAGGTAACCCTGTTTGAACCTGATTGGGGAATCCAAGGCCCTGATGGCAAAGTGGACGTTCCCGAGGTCCGGCCACGAATGAATTGCAGCTGGTGCAGGACGTAGGGCAATCGCGAGTGTGGCACCCATGGCATATGGGTGGTCGTGTCAGGCCCTATCACAGCTCGAGAAAGGATTCGATCAGACTACGCCTTTTGTTTTGCAGCAATGTGCATTCGGGTGCCCGAAACATACGCCGCGAAACTCAAACAAATAAATCGTGGATTCCATCTGAGGCAGCCCGGTGCAACTTTGGCGGGAGCTTGATCCTCAGCGTGTTCACAAGAATTTGACAAGTCACAGAAGTCCGAGGGAGTGGGACGAGCTCCTGTTGCAGCGGGTGGTCCACCTGTACCGTCTCCCACTCAATGTGCACCGAAGTCAGAATTCGAAATCACTGAAGTTGAAAATTGCTTTTCTCTTGCTTGCCGTGTAGTTTAACCCCCCCCGGAACGATACTGGGTTTGGCAATTCAGCATAAGGCAGTGCTGCCCGAGACTGCTCAAAGGTTGGTTCCTGGTCCACTGAACCCCGCACAAGGCGGCCGGCCAACACAAGCCAGCGCGTTGCAGACACCGCGCATGGAGTGATGAATGCTGCTGTACTTGCAGGGCGTCCTCGCAACACTGGGCAGAAATCTCAGCAGATGTCACGACAAGGTCACATAACATTGTTTTGCACCTGCACCCTCAGGCTGAGAGGGCCAGGGGGTTTGCCCTCTCCCATGGCCCCGAACCCGGTGGCAAGCCCAGCCAAATCCAATGCACAGATGCGACGTTGTCAGCGTGCGTGTTGCCCACTAGTTCTTATTCGGCTTGTTGGAGTCGGATGACTGTGCATCACGGCCAGACTTCCTGTTCAAGCAAGCTACGCACGAGAGTCTTCTGTCAGCCTCCACCATGCTGGATTGCCTTTTCGGCTTTTTCGTGGGCACAGGCCCAATGATCCACCATTTAGAAGTCGAGCCTGCGACATGCCAAAACACATCCTGGATTTGATTGCTCCTCTTTGCAGGCATTGGGGCGTACAAATCAGCTCAGACTCTTACCTAATTCAGACATTCAGTTCTGCACATCGAATACACCAACCCTGAACTTTTGCGCAGTCGCGGCACCGTATGCAGGATTGACAAGGCTGTCGGTCCAGCACAGCCGAGGTTGAAACCTTGCCTCAACGACACACTCGCAGTGGCCAAGACTAAGTCAGCACCGATGATGGGTCAGGCGGGCGGACACGTCGCCGGCAGATCGCGACACATTGACACTGACACAGGCCAAGGAGCAAGTGATGCAGCTTGTGGAAAAAGCAAAAGCAGCAGCAACTTGTTCCAGTCGCTGCTTCGAGATTGTAGTTGTTTATGTAGGCGCTTCCCGAAGGCAGCCACACTTGTCGGCTCAGGTATCCGAAATGCGCGGAGGAGTGCCCAACGGAAGTGCGAGGTAAAGCTATCTGACGCGGCAATAGTAGCAGCTGGTGGTTCATGTGCAGGCAAAACCGACGCAGAATTCTTTCGTTTAATATTCCAAGTCTGTGGCAGTGCACCACGCAGCATTCGTGCATCCAGAGGAGATGCCATTTTAGCCGCTAGAACTTTAATAGTGAAGAGCTTGCATCAGTTAGTCAATTCGAGCCGGCACAACCTGTTTTCCAAGAACTGATGCCGGCAGCTTTCCACTCCCTGAAGACAACAGCTGAAGCTGCTTCGTGATTACCAGCCCTGGCTCTACTACCGATAGACCATCACAGAGTTCTGGCTGCCGTCTCGAGCTGGCATGAAGAAAAGGCGAGGGGGAAGCGGCTTCGCTACAGACTGCAGTGCAGACAACGCAGACGGCAGAGCAAAATGGGACGCATGCGCTGAACTTCTTGTCAGCTTTTTGCTTGTGGAGTCTGGTTGATCCGTTTGGACAGCCATGTTCCAGATGAGGTCGGTCAGCCTGCCGCACCAACGGGAGGCCACATTTGACTACATTTGACTGCCTGTTGTGCCAACCTGGTGGAACAGCACCTTGCATCCAGGCCTTCAGGAGCACACCCTGAATCCAAAATGCCCAGCAAAAACTGTAAGAGCAAAATCGGGATTACCACCACACTACTCGGTTGTGCAGCATCTTAGGGCTTTGGGTTTCTCAACCAACATCTCTGTTTGTTGTGGCATTACTGCTGCTGCTACTTCTACTTGTGCTATTACTAGTACTAGTACTAGTACTAGTACTACTACTACTACTACTACTGCTACTACTACTACTACTACTACTACTACTAGTACTACTACTACTACTACTACTACTACTACTACTACTACTACTACTACTACTACTACTACTACTACTACTCCTACCACTTCCACCTACCACTTCCACTACCACTACCGCTAGCCACCCCCCCCTCCCAACTACACTTGCTCCATCCGGCTGGGCAGTAGAGCTTCTAGACGCCCTGACTGCGACAGTTGCGCAAGACGCAAGGGCTCAGCCGCCCTTTCTGTGACAGCTGCAGAAGTTGCAGAGGCTCATGCCCCAAACCTGCGACAGCAGCTGGAGTTGCAAAGTCGACGTGGAAGAAACTGCGAAGCCCAACACCCCTAAAGCCCAGGAGGTTTTGTTTTTGAAGTGGTGGGTGGCGTGTGGAGATATTGTGCGGGTGTCCGCGAAACAGTCTCGTTCTCATCCCCCAAAAAGCTTCCCCCCGAACAATTTCGAGTTTTTGCAGAAAGCCCTCCGAAATTTGCAGGTCGAGCTCGCAACGTCCAGAATTAAGTAGGTTTGGTGACGATATACAATGGTCCGACATCACGAAGGTATTGTGAATGCCTAGTGAAGCGGCTCTTCTGAAGATATTGTTCGAGGTGTTTGCGTAGCAATGTCGTTATCATCCCCCTCCCTCCCCCCAACCCACCCAAAAAGCAAATCCAAATTCCGAAGCTCGAGCTTGCAAACTCGACAAGTCGATTTTGAGGCTTCATAAGATGATCCTACATGACGAACCTGCTCTGAATACCGAGTAAAATGTGTCACAGGTGCGCTTGGCGGGTCGCCAAAATTACTACTACCACCACCACCACCACCACAACCACGACGACTACTCCTTCTGCTACTAAGTCTGCCACTGCCACTGCCACCACTGCTACTACCACTACCACGACTGCCACCACCACCGCACTGTTCCTGGCACTTCCTACTAATCCTTCTGCTCCCACTCCCAACCTTTACTTCCGCACTTTGCAAACTGTGTCTCCTCTTAGTATTAATTAGGGTTGTTGATTTCTCCACCACCGCCAACATCTCCTTGCATGATTTGGCATTTGGCTTTTAGGGTTTAGAGTTTGCAGAGCTTCGCCGCCGGCATACACTCCAAGTCCGTGCTCAAAAAAGTGTTTAGAGTTTCTCAAACAACCTCCCTGCTGAAGGTTTCGGGTTCGGCAACCAACATCTCTTTTTGGGTGGCTGTCTCCGCGTTTCTCAACCAACAGTTGCTTTCTGCATTTTGGGTTCGTCAACCCTGGCCTTTTTTCAGGGTTTTGGTTTCTCAGCCAACATCCCCTTGTAGGGTTTACAGTTTCTCAACAAACATCTCCGTTCACGGTTTCGGGCTTCTCGACCAACACTTTGTTTTGGGGTGTTGAGTTTCTCACCCAACATCGCCATTTCGTGTTTTGGATTTCTCGTCCAGCATTTCTTTTCTCCGGTGCAACATGTGATTTTGTCAGGCGTTTGCACTGCCGAGTCGGGGGAACCCCAGCAATTTGCGCACGGATGTTGGCTACGCCTCGAGCGAACGACGACTTGATCACTAAACTCTAAACTCTGAATTTTAGAACCTTATGTTACGAGACAGCTGCTGTGCATGTGCATCAGGAACGGCAGCCGGGCCCGGGGCCCAAATGGTCCAGCAAAGTTTGCCGAAGTCTGCAATTCAACAGAAACCCTTTCGGATTCAAACATCCTTCCACGTGACAGAAGCTTGAAGCCATCGGTCATGAGTTGAGACCAGATCGCTCATCGGTCAAGGCAGACTTCGAATCCGCAGAGCGGTGGCACAGGTCGGCCTAAAGCCCTGTGGCCGATGTTTCTTGTGCTGAAGTGAGCCCGATAAGCTCCCGTCCCAGAAGGCCGTGCAGAGGCTGCACTTCTCCGACTGCACCGACCTGATGCAGCCACGAACACCTTGAAGAGACGCTTATGTGGCTTCAGGTCGCAGCACCTCTTGGGCCGTGCGCGGGTGTCGGCCTGATTTGCGACAGCATAAGCTGGCACTTCGATGAAAGGCTGTCGCCTCTCGGGCTAATCCAAACCAGTTTGCTAAGGCTCCCGGTCCTGGAGTAGATGTCCCTTCCTCATGATTGGAAACTTCGGGGTGAAACACGAAGTCAGTGTTTGTGTTGAGCAGCTCAATTGCCAGGTGCTACGCCTTTACGCGCGCAGCCCTGATGTCACAACTCTCGAGGAAGTCATGGAAGCTGTCAGTGCCCAGTGCTCATCGACACCTGAAGGCATTGTTTAGTAGCGACATGCTGAAAAGCCAAGCAGGTGTTGCCACTGGGCATATCCCGAGCAGAAGTACAGCCTGCTTGGAACTCGAGATGCCCACTAGCCGCCAGTCATGACAAGCAGAGTCTATCTGAGATCTTTGCTCACATTCGTGGTTTGGGCGACACCCCCAGCTTTTGCCAGCCACCTTTGCTCGACCTTTGCTTCTCTTCACTTCAGGTGCCGGAACATTGCCCCTGTCACAGCTCGCAACTGCGGCAGAGGCAGCCTGTGCCATGGGAGCCAGGAGCTTGAGACCCTTTCAGGGAATGTGCACGATGACGATGTCATATGCCATCAGAATCGAGGTTCCAGCAGAAGCTGCTGGCATTGAGCAGATTGTGCAAGACCCAAGCTTTACTGTGCAGACTGGCAGTCGGTGTTGCTTGTCGGATGGTTTGCTAAGGATCCGAAACGGCTGGGCCCTGCATTGCAGCGGCTTGGCCGGAGGCTCAGAGGGCCATGCGTAGCAGACAGGCAACATGTCATGGTCGGAGACAAATGCATACACACTCGATCAGGCTCACGGGCTTCGCAACAAGAGTTCCGAGTAGCTTTGATGCAGGCAACCGCGTCTGCAGCTGTTTGCGTATCGAGAAACTCGCGTCTTGCAGCAATCACAGGCCGAGCCGTACATGACGCACAACCAGCCTTTGTCTCAGCTCCGAATTCTGTGCTGCCTGACCAAATAGATGCGGAATGCAGGATGGAGTGGCTATCCGAGCTTACAGATAAGGCGCGATCTTAAGCGACAACAATCACGAAGCCTGGGTTACCATGAAGTACGACAGGATGGTGAAGGGCGATTGCTGCCAAGCTCTTGGCAGCACTTCCGAGCCACCTTCACACGCACACAGCATCTTGCACGGGTAAGGCCAAACACCTTGCTGCAGCAGACTCGGAGACTCGGGAGTTTCGCGAGGTAAAGGGGATTCTGAGGATTTTAGTGACCGCGTGACTGAGGCCAAGGCTTGGGCTCACTGCACTTCCAAACAGGCGCCGCGCTTCGGCTTCGTCAATCATTTCTCATGCCTTATGCTTCCGTGATCAGGGCAGATCCTTTATCGTGGAGCAATGTACCGCAAACACCTCAAAATGACAGAGGAACTGAGCCATATGCCGCCATAGCTTTTCTGCTGAGGCCTCGCCCTGCGATGAACCCTCCAAGGCGAACTTCTGTTGCACACAGTGCTCCTCAAGTGTTAGCTTCTGCCCCGGTCATTAAAATTCGAAAGCTTCGGGCCAGCTTCTCTGATGCGGGCTCAGGTGGTTTCCGCTTTACTTTGGCGAGCGGCTGGTCAAAAAGTAGCACGGTGCGTAGTTCGTGTTGACCACCAATGCACAAATACACCAGGTTCGGCAGCGGCTCTTCATGGCAGGATCAAAGATCACACTTGGCTCATTACTGGGTGACGCCCCTGTCTGCAAGCGCAAGCAACTTTTAAACTCAATGCTTCCTGAAAACATCCGAGGTTTGTTCGATCTCGCGGACGGATCAAGTCGACAGCAGGTCCACAAAATCAATGATTTGTCACAATGTCCTTAAGGCAGCTGCCTTCTTGCAACAACTCAGGCTGAGGCTGCTTTGGTCAGCTTGGCATCTTGGACACCCGTGCCCAACCAAGTGGTGTAGCCGATCATGTGATTCAGGTCGAGACCTCCTTGGGAGCCTTTTGGGACACCTGCGGCTTGGTATATCTGTGGAGGAGGTGTGGGCGGTGTGGGTGAGAAAGCATGAACAACAGGCGAACTTTGTTTGCAGGCCGACGAGCTGCTTTCAGCAATATCAGCCGGGACCCCGGTTGAAGCTCAAACGGAAATGGACGGGGTTTGAAGCTCAGGCCAGTGCTGGCAAGCGCTCTGGAGGATCTGGGACGGTTGGCTGGCAAGCAGAAACACGAAGAGCACTGCAGCACGTGCTATGCCCTTGCCTCCGAGGTCCAAATGGCCTTGCTTTATGACATGATAGATCGTGCCGGGATCCGAACATGTAAGATGCTGTCGGAAGGAACATGTCCAGCACAATGGTATTGCAAGGCGGGTCAGCCGGAGATGGAGAGCTTGGCTTGTTCCCTAGACAGCGTTCATCATGCACTGAGTCCACGGATCTCGAGTTGCAACAAGAAAACATCTGAATTTTCAGGTGGTTGAGCTCCGAGAAGCTGCAAGACAGCGACTTTGGGGTGCAATGCCTAGAAATGTCTGGTGCAACTCAGAGCAAGTCTTGCTGACGCTGACTTGTTGGGTCTTGTGCACGCAAGGAAAGGGATCCTGCATCATGAGTGCTGCTGGTTCAGCAGCTGACGATTGGCTCCCAGAGGCCTGGCCTTGAAGAGAGCAGCGTGCTGAAAACCGACAGACGGACGGATGGACAGGTAGACTTCAGGAAAGGGTTGAAAGCTGCCATGGCAGACATATGTCGGCCGCTCGATGTTCGAACATGGTCGTGGAGTGTTCTTGAACATCCTTTTGGTTACAGGGGCCGTGCCAGGATCGCTGCCAGAGGACGACGAGGTTTCTGACTTGATTACTCGTCTAAGTCTCCATTGACAAGAGTCGGAAAGCAATTGTTAGCAGGATCGTTTGGTTCTGCTGGCTGAAAAGGATGCAGAAGGACCGAGCACAAACATCTGCGCCCTCTCCCACGGGTCCAGTGTGAGACATTACTGGCAGGACGCGTTCTATGGCGACCGTTCGTCCAGGCAAGCTCCACTAGTGTTAGCTGCCAAGCAATGAAAATTGAATCACGAGGCATTCTGCAGCTGGCCGGATCTGGACCAAGTCAGTGAAGTCACAGAGGCTGGACTCGCCTCGTGAATGCTTTCTGTTTGGCTTTCGCTGTGTGTCGAATACAATGTGAACGAAGTGGAGTGAAGCAAGAAACGAGCAAATGCAAAAGAAACACCAAAACCAGCAATTTATTTTCGCACTGCTTCTTTCATAATCTAAAGGTACAACGGTGGCAGATGGCTTACGCACGTTAGGTTGACCTACAATAAGCTTCCCACACAACAAAATCAGGAGTTAAGTTTTTCCTGAACCCTCGGCCGGGTTCTTCATTTAAGGTTCGCCGGTTAGTATACACTGAACAAGTTTAGACAAGTTGGCTGTGTTGTCCTACTTGGGTTTACATGTTTACAGAGCGCCTTATGTAGTATTAATGTCCAGGATGTGAGTGCTCTGGTGTTGCAAATCCCAAATCTTAAAAGGCAACTTCGTTCCTCTCCGCACCTAGGAACCTCGCCTGGCGGTGTCCGAGTTGTGAGAGCGTAAAAGACAACTGCATGCATTCCCCCGGCAAGGATTGGGAGCCAAACAAAACACATCACTCCGGTGGGCTCTCCTTTTCGGAAAACTATGATTGCGTCCTCACTTGTGCCCCCGACGTGCGCGACTTGCGCTCATGTGGCCTTGTACCAGGTCCTGGTCGGAGTCAAATGGTGCGTCTCGGACTTCTGTTTGGTGTCCTTGGCCTCTCGCTCCCCCGTCTAGAGGTTCTTTGTGGGCTGCGGCTTGGTGTTCTCGGTCGCATCGCCCCTCTATCGGGTGCCGGCCTTCGTGGGCTCCTTCTCGTCAGTGTTGTGGCTCTTCTGGCATCCCTTCACTACCCTGCGGAACTTGCTCGTGCTTCCTGGCCTTTCGCCGTATGCCCCGAGCCTGCTTTAGGAGAATGTGGATCTTGTGCGGGTACCCTGGTCTCATTGGTCACCTTTCGGAGGTATTGGTCCGTAATGCGGACCAGTCTGTCTGCTGCCTTCGCCAGCTCATGTCTGGTTCGAAGCTTCCCCGGTAAGCTTCAAAGCACTTTGCCTCTTCCTGGGTTCGGTAGCGGTCAAAGCATACCAGGTGGGCCAGGCTCCGCTTGGGGCTGTTCCGTCCTGCTGGCAGCCGAGGGTGTTCTCACACTGCTCCGGCTTCCCCCTCCTCGCTGGCGTTTCTGCAAGACTGAGACCGTCATATTTTCCTGTATCGCCTCTTTTCTTTGTGTCGAGGCTATGCGCGTTTTCCTTGCATCCGTTCATCCCCATCTTAGTGCCAACTCATGACAACACTGGTAAAAACCACAAATCGCAGCCAATGCCCGTGGGCTTCAGGTTCTCTTCGATGCTGCATCCCGACGCAGCAATCACGTTTGCAACTTCTCAGGCCTAAATCTCGCAGCACTGCACGATGGGCTTCCAAGTCTTTTCGATGCTGTGTCCCAACACTTGTCGAGCGATGGCCCAAATCTCGCAGCCACTGCATTAGCTTCAAGTTTTTTTCGATGCTGTATCTCAACAATGCTGCATCCCACCACTTGCGAAAAAAAAAGCTTCAAGTTCTCTTCGATGTGTAGGAATACCTCGAGAACACCTTCGGAACACCTGCTGTCTCAAGGTATCGAGAGCTCCCTGGTACTGTTGGACCGGTGAGCATCTGCGATCACCTTGCTTCGTGCCTCACAAACGGTGGCTTGGGACTCCCAAAAGGAAGAGGAGTTTGGACAATCGAAGGTCCTCTGACAGTGCTGGGTGTCGAGCCTGCTTGAATCTTGCAACTCCGTCTCCCGCGACCAAACAAGACCGTCGCTGTGACGACTGCATTGAACAATTGCAATCGACCTTTTATTGAAACGTCGTCGATTTGTCAGAACACCCTGAACAGGCAGCGTTGATCTGCTGGACAGCTGCAACAACTGAGCATCTTCGAAGATCAGCCGAGATTTTTCGCCCGAGGTAAAGGTGCGCTTCCAAACCTGCAAGTACTTGAGCCATGTCGCCGTCAACATCAACGCAGGAAATGTTTGCATCACTGGCGGTCGGAATGATTCGAGTCTTCAGCGTTGAGTTCCATCCAATGTTTGCTTACTTTGATGGGCTGTGGGTTAGCTAAGGAGTTAGGTGAGTTAAGATGATTAGAAATGGCAGTTATAAAAATTAGCTAACTAGTTAAGTAGTAACACAGAAGTAGTGTATAACATAAGATTCTCCGTGACATGTGCATGCTTTCATGTGTGCTTTTGAACGACGAAAACAGGATTTATGAGATGAAAATGTTGCCGTGGCCAGTGGCCGATGACATGGGAATGGCTCTGTGCTTTTGGATTTTAAGGTTGTTGTATAAAAAAGGCGGGCAATATGAAATTTTGAATCCTTCATTTCCTGGCTAAACATCATGTGGAAAAGCAACTTCAACTCATGCAGGAAGAAGCACCAGGGTGCTGAGCAAGGAAGATAAAGACATGCCCTGCAGTGCAACTCTGGAAATATTCCATGCAGTTTTTAAGCAGCTTTTGTTTGTTTTGCAGCTGCTATTTCATGGCATGTTTGCATGACCATGTTTGTCATGTGCATATAGCATGATCCTAAGGAGCATGCTTGGACTCATCATGTAAGCAGCTTTTCTTTGTCTTGCAGCTGCTATTTCATGGCATGTCTACATGACCATGTTTGTCATGTGCATGTAGCATGACCCAGAGGTGCATGCTCAGCAAGAAGATCCATGTTTTTTTCGCTGTCGTGAAACGGAGAGCCAGGCCCTCGAAGAAGTTTGTCAGCTACGGAGGTGCAAAGGGATTAAAGTGCGGACGCAATTCGTGTCTCTCAAATAGACCACCGCTGTCAGGATGTCTTTGCTCTCGATAATCACAGGCTGCTCCATCTCGGTCCACACTGCACAGTGCTTGTCCTTGTTGTACTCCTGCAAGCTCCAAAGGGAGACCACGGACCACAATGTGCCTTGCACGGAAACATGGCAAAAAACTTCGGCACAATCCCAAGGAGGGTCCCGCCCTTTGTCTGCTTGCAGCAAACACACGTCTGCCTTGCTTGCCAACCCACCACCAGGAAGCCGTAGAATCGTTGCGATCTTCAGGTCATCCTTGGAGACTTGTGGGAAACTCTGGAGCACCAGATCCCTGAGCTTGGTGGGGGGCTTCTGCCGTGGGTTTTCCAGAGCGAGGGCGACCGGAAACTCGGGCAACTTCTCCAAGTGCCACAGCTCATGGGCAAGCACTTCCTCGTAGAGGGATCGCGAGGGATCGCTCGAAAGTGCTGGTGTTCTGGATGGATGCTGCATATCTGGTGATTGTCCTGTGCTTCCGCTCCATGCTGAATGTAGCAGGCAGCCTCTTGTGCTTTTCATAGTGGTCACCCATATGCAGCAACCAGTGCATCTTGCGGGTTACGTGCTCCCCCCAGCCCGTTTCGAACCAAGAGCTCATGCACTTGTCGGCGGCCTCTCGCAACATGGATGGAAGCACACAACCATGCCCATGGCAGGCGGCCTGCAATAGTTCCACCATAAGGCACATCTGCAAAAAAGCTTCGCACTCGGATGGTAGGAAGCCTTTGTCAAGGATGCAGGTTCGGACGAAAAAGGCGAGCACCGGCAGCAAACTGAGCATTTCGGAAGCTGTCGTTTTGAACTTCCCCGCTTCTCTACAGGATTTCATCCGCTTGTTCTCGAAGACTTGCTTCAGCTTTACGTGTGCGAAGGAAGCCGGCTGTGTCCACAGATCCACGTATTTCTCCAGAGTGGCAAAAACATCCTTGAAGCCATGGTCCTTCGTGGCACTGAGAAGAAACCAGGTCGCATCATTCAATGTTCCATTACTCAAGCAGCAATGCATCCAATCGTGCACGAACATGGTTGCTGGTTTGACCACCCTCCTCAGCAGAGGCTCCGAAAAAATGCTTTCTGTGTTGAAGGTCCACCCAGTGGCTTGCTGCCACATGCCAAAGTCTTTGGCTGAACACCGGCCCTTCAGGTCGGCGAGCCTCGACCAAGAATCCCAAATATCGTCATCCGAAACCAAATGCAAGTCAGCATGTGCATGCTTGGGGATCTTCTCTTCGTTGCGATTGTCGGCTCGCTGATTGCCACACAACAAACAATACTTCGAACCCGAGTCACCTTTCACACTCCAAGCGAATTTGTGAGCTGCCCCGTCTTGTATTACCATGCTTGGCTCGAATGACAAATGAAACCCGCCCTTCGGCCCCTGCATCCAAACACCTGTGGCCGGGTCATGCTTAGAGTGCAAGAAGATACTGCGAAAGATGATTTTGAAGATCTGGCTGATGCTTCCCTCCAGCGAGGCCACAAAAGAGCTCCTGAGGAGTGCGATGGTGAGCCAGGCCTCTTCCATCGCAAGCACTTGAGCAGGGAAGTCTATGCATGAGAGATAGATGCACCAGCTCTTCCTGGAGGTTCGGGCTGCAAGGACATTGCCTGGGATTACATCGTCTGAGTAGATCGCGAATCGGAGTGCTCTTCCGCCGGCTTTCTCTGCACAGCTCCGAAGCAAATCGTAGAAAGCACCACCGGCACGGCAAATCCCATCCAGCAAGCTGAAAACATTCACCAGCCAAAAAGCCACCGTGCCACCAGACACTGTCTTGGCTTCCTGCTTCTCCAAGAGAGGCCCGTAAGCTTCTTTCTTGCCCAAGTACGACCTTGTCGCTTCTCTCATCTGCTTCGGGTCTGTCATCTCTGGCATGCCATGATCATGAATATCCTGCAAGAGGCCATGCAGAGCACTCTTACTACAGTAAGGTGCTGCTCTTCTCAAAGAGTTCAACCGTTGCAGCTTCTGTGGCCGGTCGTCTGTCTTCGAAGAAGAGGAAGACATTATTGCTCAGGTAGAATCAATCGAATTTGGATGCAAGCAGACTATATGCAGAATGCATCTGCACATCTATAGATGCATGCAAAACTCAGCTACATCAACATAAAACTACAAAGTAACAAAAAAATAAACATTTTCCAACCCTGCAACTTCAAACCCCAATATAGATGTAGCTGTATACACACCTATACACACCGCCAGAATGTACATCGGAAGGAACTGTCGACGAGAAAATTCTGCGACCCGTATGGGTGCCAACTGCAAGACTTGGCTATTGAGCCTTACACAGTCCATGCATATGCATGGAGCTTCAACTCAACACCGGGTTTTGCTTCTGCCGTTTAAACACAAATGCCACAGCACAAAACCCGGGAACCGCCAAACAGAATGACGGTTGCATGTCTGTCTATAGAGCAAAACATATAACAAAGCATCCAGGCCACACGGTGGACTGGGAAGGTAGCTCCAAATGTGAAAACACACGGAGCTGTGGGCCCTAAGCGCCATTTCCGAGGCAATGTCTAAGAAGCACAAGGAAAGCAAAGCAAGGAACAATTCATATAGAACCCAGACCGAATCAGCATGGCATGCCTGCATAAGCCCTGTCATGCAGAGCTGCATGGAGCTATCTGGCCATGCAAACATGAAGCCCGGCTGGGCTGGAATGACTTTTTGTTCTGCTGCTCGCTTGCCCGCTTCGAATGAAGCAGGATGCCATGGAACACGGTTGCAGTGATTAATGCACCGGGCAGCTTTTGCTGTACGAAGCAGCTTTTGCTGCAGTGCGAAGCTATATATAGCTACCCACCCATTGAAAACACCAAGGCTAACTCGGTCACTTCTTGCTCTTGGACTTCTTGTTGCAGGCTTTGCCCTTTGCGAGGGCAAGCTGCCGTTTGGCATACCACTCCTTCCATTCCTCCCTCGTCAGGCGGAGTCCCTTGAACCCCGGATCCTGACACTGCGAACATCCTGTTCGACAGCCACGGCAGCGAATACAACCAAGTTTTAGCGGCGGGTCTGCACTGGCTTTCCCAACCGGCTTGGCTGCACTGGCTTTGGCCGAAGGCCTCTTCATGACTGCTTTGCCCTGATCTGGAGCCCCTCGCTTCTTATTTTCTACCGGCTTGCTTTGGGCCTGCAAAGCCTTGAAAGCCTCTTGCTCGATCGCCTCGAGCTTGCTGCTGCTTGCAGGTGTTGTCACGGCGGTTTCCTTCACATGCTCTTGGGGCTGGGGCTGCTCTGGGGGATCCTATTCCTCCACAGGCACTACCTGAGTCAGGACAGGAGGGGGAGCCACGGAGGAAGGAGTCTGCAGCATGGAGTCTCTGGTGCATTGCTGGGCTGGCACTCTAGGGGACGAGGAGGTCTGGGCGGCATGCTGGGGCGAGGCAATGTTCTGCAAAGCCTGCAGACTGCTTGAAGCAGCCAGGCTGCTGGGCACAGTGCCTTTGCTTTGCATGCTTGTGTTTGCTTGCACACCTTGCATACCGGATGCTATGGGGCATGGCTCCTGCAAAGCTCCCAAGCTGCCATTCCTTGCCGGCTGCACTGCATTGAAATTGTTCATGCCCGTGCCGCCGACCGTCTGCTGCAAGAACCTGTGCATGAGGGCTTGCATATGCAAGGCATCGTCACCAGCAGCATCCTTGCCCTTCTTCTTGTTCTTCTTCTCTTGATTCCACGACAACAAACTGGACGTGCTTCGCACCGGTGTCTCATTCACCACCCGGGCTACAAGACCTGGGAGGTCTCTCGGCTCCGGTGGGTCCTCTGGATCATAAGCATCCTTCATGAAGCCCGGTCCGAGCTCTGATGGGTGCAAAGGATAGACTGTCACTCCTGCTGCTTTTCGTGGAACTTGCACACTGAGGAAGACTTTGTGCAATTGCTCTGCGAGTCTGTAGATGTCGTCGTACGATGGAGCAATGCCGAGTCTTTCTATCTGACAAGTGACGATGATGCCGGTTGCATACTTTTTCGTCTCTTCTTTGAGACTCGTGAGCCCGAGCCTCCGGAGCCTCTCGCTGACGACCACTGTAGCATCCCAGCTGCTCGAAGTAGACAACTTCGCCCAATCTGACTTGGAGAGGTAGTTGCAGAGTTGCACGAGGGTCTGGGGTTTGCTAGTGAGTCGTACCTGGGACTGACCAGCGATTGTGGGGCCTGCAGCATCATCCAAGGCTTTGAGCAAGCCATCTTTGCTGTTGCCGGACAAGCTAGATTCGCCCACTGCTTCCATCATTTTGCACAGCTGATCCGCCGTCCATCCCGGGTGATGGGCCATGCGATCTTGCAGTGCCTGCACGAGCTTAGGCTCCATGTCGGTGCCGGGCCTCATGCCCACCAGCCTCTGGATGGAGTTCATCTCCTGCACGAAGTCATCGGCGGTCCACCGAGCCATGGTCTCTGACTGGTCTCTGGACCCGGCAGAGCACCACAAGTGAAACAGAAGTCGCCTAAAGCAACAATGGCGACAAGTGTTCATGCTAGGAAAGCACAGAAAGTCGTGCATGGTTGTCAGGAAGCAGGATCACTGCTGCATGTAAACAACGAAAAGCTTTATCTGCAACTGCAAACAAAACTACATAGAAGCACAAAGCTGCATGGTTTTTCAAGAAGCAGGATCACTGCTGCATGGGTTTCAAGAAGCAGGAACACTGCTGCATGGACCAGACAATAACTTGCATGTGCACAGCAACAAGAGAGAAGCACACATGATTAGTGCTGCATCACCAAAAACAGAACCGGCACACCAGGCACCTTTAAAAAACCTGGCCTTGTCCCATGGAGGGGTGTGGGGAGGGCGGGGGGGGGGGACAGCTGGGTGGAGGGCGACGGGGGGAGAGGTCCGGCGATTGGGGTTTGGGTTGGTGGTGTGGGGTCGACCTTGGTGCTTGTGCTTTTGTCCGACTGAGTATGGGGGTGCCAAGCATATCATGCTTCACAACCAAAGCACAAGCAGAACTTGTGCTGCATGGGAAAAGCACATCATGCATCACAACCAAAGCACAAGCAAAGCTTGTGCTGCATGGGAAAAGCACATCAAAGAGTGCTGCATGCATTGTTCCAGGACAAGGGGAAAGGCTTCTTGTGGGAGCTCGGGCAAGAACTGAAACTATGCTGTTGGGTGGAGGAGAATGCAGCTTCAAAGGTGCAATGGCTGATCCCGTGAAGGCTTTCTAAAGGGCTTGGCAAGGGCTGCTTCCAAACAATGTTTACGATACCACCGAAACACACAAGTTGCTCATGAACAACTTTGTTTCCAAACCCCTGAAACCAAGATGCTTATGAACAACTGTGATCCCATAAGTCTGATTCAGAGATGCTCCAGAGCAACTGTCCGGGATAGGGTTTATATAAATTATAAGGGTGGGATCCCCAAGATGTCTATGAGCAACTCTGAAATTAAAGTCTATTCCCAAAGATGCTCATGAGCAACTTGTTGCCCCCCTCGCAAAGCTGTCTTTTTTGCTCTGGCCGCCTAATAATCATACTGAGGGTCAGCACCAAACTGGTCCACATACCGCATGTGCTCCTCCAGGCGGCTCCGGAACGTCGGGTCCCCTCTGAATGCACTCGTGAGGTGGTCCATGCGGCCGAAGTCCTTCGAGAGCCAAGCCGCCGTCATTCTGAAGCTTTGTGCTCCGTCTCGAGTCCATCCAGGGCCTTGGCAGGGCACTGCTCGAGGATGTCGCCGCCTGACCCTGCTCCCTCATAGCTGGTGCTGGAGGAGGTCTGTTAACCCCCAGCTTCCTGAACTCGTCCTCGGCAGCCATTCTCTTTTTTGGCGGTGGGCCCTTCCACAGCGGTGCTTGCATCGCCTCCACAGGCTCTAAGACAGGAGCCGCCGTCGCCGCCGCCCGGGCGGTCGGGCGGTCGAAAAAACCTCTGTCTTCCCTCCTGCATCCTCCTGCTTCATCTCGCGGCCAGGCCCCTGAGTCTCTGGACCGCCCACAAAGCCAGGACCCATTTGCACAGCAATCGGAATAACACCAGCTGGTGTGCCCATCCTCTGCATGCCAGCTGCACCTGCTGTGCCCATTGCCTGCAAGCCAGCTGCACCTGCTGTGCCCATTGTCTGCAAGCCAGCACCTGCTGTGGCCATCGTCTGCAAGCCAGCACCTGCTGTGGTCATAGGAGCACCAGTCGGCACAGCCCAAGGGAAGCCATAGCCAGCAAACTCAGGCATAACCATGCCAGGCACCAACGGTGCACATACCGGTGCCACCGGTGCCACCGGTGCCGCCGCCATCCCAGGTGCAGGTGGAAACGGCGCTTTTGAAGCCGTTGCCATTGCTGCCTCAGACTTAAGGGTTCGTGCAGGGTCGGTTTCTGTTGTGCTTTACTACATAACAGAAAAGCTTTCAACTTCTGCTACACCAAACAAGAGTCTGCACCCACTCCTGCCCACACAGGATCCTCCACACCCAGGGGAGCATTGGCAGTCTCCGCCGCCTGCTCCTGCTTGGGCTGCTCTGATCCTGCAGGGCTCCATGCAGCAAAGGCTGCTCTTCAAGTAATGCACAAAAGCCCTGCCACAAAGCAGGACTGCATGAAACGAATCCAAAGCCCCAGCAACCTCGAACCCCATGTAAGCCCAGTCCTCCTTGCATTGCCTTGTCATCAAACTCGTGAGGGTACGTGGCAGCAGCCCTTTCCCACCACTCTTGGTCCTGCTCGGACAAGGTAGCAAACCAGGATCGCCACTCGGCCTTGCTCCATCCTCGCACCTGCTCGCGGACCCATGCGAGCTCGCCGTCCGTCAAGTCAAGCGGCTCGTAGTACTTGACCTCCACATCCTCTTCCTCCTCCTCCTCTTCCTTCTTTGTCGACGGCTCAGTTGCCATGATCGCGAGGCACGAGTGGCTCCAAACCTATTTAAATGGTTTGGAGCTTGTAGTTTGACATGGAGATTGCACATGCATGGTCAGAGCTTGGCATGACCAGAGATTCTTCTATCTCACACATAACATGGATTGCATCTCTGGGAACCTACTATTATGCAGGCTGCAGGAGCTCAACCACAACATTTGAAAGTGTTTCCCACAATCGTCTGGTGTTTCCCACATGCATGGAATGGTTCATGCATCTTCTGCTGCATGCTTCTACTGCTTACCTGCCTTGGGGCGGCACGGGTGCACAGAATCATTGACATGCACCTCATTGCACAATTCAAGTGTCTCTTGCTCGCAAACCGACATGCATCATGAAGCCCTGTCAAGCAGGACTGCATGCAAGATCACATGCAAGGTCTGAGGGAACATGAAAAGCCCTTCGAGAGGACTGCATGCAGAAACAAAAAGCAATACATCATCAAGCACCATTCATTCTAGCACATGTACCCTGCTCACGAACCCTACAAGGAAACGGACTTTGTTTCCTTTTCTATGGTATACCAGCGAGACACACCTCCAGCTCAATGAGAATCCTCCTCCTTCTCTTCAGAGGAACATTGCCGTCCAGCTCTACGTCTCCGGTAAACCCGCCTCTCGTCGGGATCCGCATCCTGCAAAGAAGCTTGGCAGTTACCTAGCACCAAAAATAACAGACACATTCATGCAGCTATTACATTGCTAAGAGTCCTCAGTGATCTTGGCGAAAACCATTTCCAAGCTCTCTGACTCCAACAGGATCAACAAATCCATGGTGGACTTGTGCTTGGCTTGAACCCCGATCTGAATGCCGTCCACCATCACATATTCAACATTCGGCTGCACTTTCTGTTTTTTCTTCTTCGATTCCGGAAAGAGTTCATCCGCCCCCGATCCCTTGCTCTCGCTTTTCAAGAAGTTCTGGATTTCCTCCTCCCTGCCCTCTTTCAGTTTTTGCAAACCTGGAGAAGCAGTCAGACTTGCTTGCCTAGAACCCAGGAGTAACTTCATCAGCACCCTGTTCGAGGGCTGGATCTTCAGGTACTTGACACCGGAAATCTCGACGATCAAATCGTTGGGCACCACGACCTCACGAGCTTGCCATGTAATCGTCGTGCAAGTGCCGATGCTCACCATGGTGCTTCCAGCAGCAACAAAAGCGCTCAGCTCAAAAGAACAGCTTGAACCCAACAACTGAGTTGTGGTAGATCAAAGCAACAAGTCAGCAAAACACGAGAAATGCAAAAGCTCGGAGGAGCTGCATGACCGAACATGCTTGCTTCAAGCATGCATTCTGCATCACAACTACAACCAACACGAAGCAACAGGCTGGCTGTTGCTGCATGATGCACAAACACATGTTTCCTACAGATAACAACCAAAACGAAGCAACAGGCTGGCTGTTGCTGCATGATGCACCAACACATCTATTCTGCAGAGACAACCAACCCTTCACAGCAGCTGCCGGCAAAAACCCTGGTGGCATGCCAGGTGTATCAAAATCCTGCAGCCGACGTGGCATGGTGCTAGATCGATCAGGTAGCCTTCCTCTTCAAGGAACCCTTCTCCTTCTCCTGCTTCTGCAGCAGCTCCTTCGAGGCTTGCATGAGCATCGTGTGCTTGGCCACCTTCTTGTTGTTGACGAGCATGGGCAATTTCATGCCGGCGACGGTTTTCCACTGCACAACCATGTTGACCTCTTCCTCCGAGGACGTGGTCTTGATCCAGTAGAAGGGCACGATGGTATCAGTCTTCTTCGGCCTTATAAGACATGCATAGCTTTATGATTTAGGCGAAAGCCTCTAAATCCTATTTTTCTTTGCAGTCGGGCTGCTCCCCGAAATCCTTCAACTGCGGAAAAGGAGACAACTGGTACTTGTTGCCATTCCATTCGACCCATAGACTGAGCTTCTGCCCTTCTTTGGCTCTCGTCATGTTCGCCAGAGGAATGAGGCGAAGCTTCTCCTTCGCAAAGCTCTCCGAGGTGTACACCGCCGTAGGGTGGATGAAATGCAAGCATGAAGAATCGCCGGTGTTCTGGTCTGCGAAGATCTGGAAAAGCTGCTGCTGCCCATCCGCCAAGATCTTCGCATCGTTCAAGACAGCACTGCCACCGTAGGTGAACTTAACGGATTCGTCCGCAGCCAACACACTCGGCACTGGGAGGCGAGTGACCTTCCACTTCTTGAAGTGCTCTGGCGATGTCATAACGATGTCGGGTGAGGCAAACAAGGGGGTGTGCACGAACTTGGCCTCGTCATTCTCGAGCCCAGCGAAAACAAAGATCTTGTCTGGGTAGTCCGCATGCACGTACTTCCCATCCTTCTTCAAGTGCGGGTTCTGCAGCAAAGCTTGCTCCCCTACACTCATGCCACCCAAGAGATTCAGGGGCCGGTCCTCCTCCCGATTCTCATCCGCTTCGCTCCCGCCAGCAGAGCTAGCACCCGATGGGTTCGTGTTCAAAGCTTCGGTAGCGAAGAGCTGGGCCACCTTCTCCTGAGACTCATACATAACCTTCTCACGACCATAC